AGGACATTTTGAGAAAAATTGTTATAAATAGTTCACAAAAATTTTTACTCAATTTCTGATCCATGTGTTGTAAAACAAAAATATCATATAACACTGAAAATAAAGAGTTTCGGCATGTACAAACTGCTATGAAGCTCAACTTTTATAGATTACAAACTATTCACATGAAATTAAAATCTTTTTTTAAAAGTCAGTCGCTGACTCATACCAGTCTCTTATCTTTTATTTCCAATTGATTTCTCGTGTATCAGAGTGTTACTTGTTTTACTTTGAGTTTTAAATATTCATTTTAAAAAGCAGTAAAACTTTCGTATTAATGAGCAAGAGAGCAAGACTAACAAATGACGACTGAAAAATAGAAATATCATGAGTACATTGCATCTTCTAAGCTTAGATAAGCGAAAATTGATCGATATACAAATTAGACTAGCATCGGCACACTAGATTTCTTAATCGTCGATTGAAGTTTAGTGACTTATTTGTCGTAAAATGTTTGACTATGTTCGACTATTTTACTGAAATATGACTTCATTTTGTTTTCTTTCTGTATTCGATAATGATCGATTGCTTTCACGAATATTTCATTCTGTCGCTGTAGAAACAGAGGATAAAAAGTGGATTAGTGTTCATAAATCTGCATAAAACTATCATTACTGTAAGGTTTTTCCATGCTAAATGTCTGTATTCACTTCAATTTTGGAAAAAAAAGAGAAAAAACAAGAGGAATGGATGGCCAGCATTAGCTAGAAAATAAAAATCCAATAGTGATAATAATATTGCAAAATAAGCACGATATATGACCATGCAGCTTTATATTCTCTTACGACAGAACTTAATATTGTCACCAGCTCAATTTGTGGAATTGTTTTTTCATTGCTTGACTGTTCTATATTAACAAATTTTGAGCCGAAACATATAATTGTACAGTTAAAACATGTGAAAAAAGTTATGTATACGTACAAATAAATAGATGCTGCTTTTGAATTATTGTTTCTATTTATATTCTTCTTCATAAACGTGTTAAAATGTTCTATCATTGTTAAACTACTTGATAGAATATCAAAGTTTTAAATCTCTCTTTGTTCTCTATGAGAAAATCGTGTTTTGACAATGTGTTCATGAAGCATAATGTGTTTACATAATCAGAGCACATGCATCATTCTGCATAGCTAGAAAGATAATACAAATTCGTCATGGCCTTGTTCATTTTTTAATCAATTGTTCGTAATACATATGAGTTAAAATATCAAAATAGATAGTTGTAACGTACATCGGTAAGTTCACTATTGTTCATGGCATCCCATAAATTGTTGATAAACGAAATTTTTTACGATGCTATACTTGTCATATTATAATGTACTAGGTCAGAAATTCGAAATATTACTATGAAGAATTTCAATCAAATTTTAAATAAATATTTTTTGTCATCAGCAAATTTTGTTAGATATATAGATATGGAGCCTTCTCATTTTCTTTGCTACTAATTTGACTTCATTAAGACTTAAATCACATCTAAAGTACTTTTTATCAACATTAATTCGAAAACGAAAGACGTGTCATGGTATCCTGATTAGATCAGATAACTATTTTGGTTGAATCATATGAAAAGTATGCAACGAAAGAAAAAAGTAAAACAGAGTATCAATTCCTTATGAGAATTATCAATTAAAAACAAAAGAATTTCTAAAGAGACATGCTTTAATTTCATAAACTTTTCTTCTTTTTTACACTCAGTATTTGAATGATGATCATTTACAATTGTTATAGTCCTTTTATCTTACAGAATTAACACCACGGAGACTACATCATTATTAGAGCAACTTGAATACTATTTTACTTCCATTGAGAAGAAAACAAAAAAAAAATACTACAAATTTTATTATTGTCACTTCGTTATTCAAAATTTATCAAAAATAATGTTTTCAATTAGATATGAATTCGAATTCAGCTTATGTAGTTCGACATTACTTTTTCTGATTATAAAAATACTTCCCATAAAACACGTGTTTCTTGTTTCTTCTTTGATAGACCATGTCGTTTCAAACACTAAGAAAAGCTCTATCGAACTTCGATATTGAGAGGGTAATTTATATCAAAAATTCATATAATAAAGTAAAGTCTAGAATAAATATCCTATGTGCACATTCATAATCAAGTAATTAGACATTTGATGTCAATATCATGTTTAAGCTTTTGAAAAGTTATCGAAAGCTCATCTTTGTTATTCACGTATATAAGTAAATTTTATTCGACAGTTTTTCCTTCGTTATTCAATTTTCCCGACTTTTAGTATTGAATACGTTAAAGTTACTGAGACTAAGTAGAAGTGACATATGTTTCTTTTGAAAACTATGATCATGTTGAGTTTAAAATTGTACTTAAATGTGAATACAGTAAAAATTTGTTTAGTTTATTTCAAAATGATAAATTCTTATATCATTATTTTTGGAGATAAGCTTTCAAAAGAACAATTTACCGGATCTATATATTCTCGTTACATAAAGAACTGTCGTATCATTATGATGTCACTATGTATATAATCATTCGATTTAGTTATGTTATAAAATAAGCACATCAAAATAGAATCAATAATGAGTTGCATATTTTATAAATGATAATAAACCAAATAGCGAATTTGTTAGAGTCAGATCATTCAATACAAAATTTTGCATTCATCATTACAATGTTCTTAAATTATCATTTATGAAATAATACTACGAACTTAAAAATTTCTTTTCAAAATCTATAAGATAATTATATTAAAATAAAATTCATTTTCAAATATTTTGATAGAGAAAATTTTTGTTTATATACCATGTAAAACTTTAAGATTCTCTAGTTTAAATACAAAATCAATCAAATAAAAACTATATTCTTAGACAAAATAATCAAACCACACCCACGCCCTAATTAACTTTCAAAACACTTTGAATTGTAATATTTGAAAACTTATGAGCATAATTCGTTAATCTTTTTTAATATAAGTTTTGAAAAATCATTATTATATCAAGATTTCTTTTCTTTTTCATTCATTGTAGTGATTCCGAATATTCCAATAGATGCTCGATGGAAACAGAATGGAGTTACCGTTGCTGGAGGTAATGGGAGAGGGGGTGACACCAATCAACTCTATTGGTCTGAAGGTCTCTTCGTTGATGATGATCAAACGATAGTCATCGCTGACTTCGGGAATCATCGTATCATGCAATGGAAGATGGGTGATACGAATGGACAAGTTGTAGCTGGTGGAAATGGCAAAGGAAATCGATTAGATCAATTGAATCGTCCAACTGATGTGTTAGTTGATAAAGAGACGGATAGTCTCATTATGTGTGATTTTGGGAATCAACGAGTTGTACGATGGTCTCGTCGTAGTGACACAATTCAAGGAGAAATTCTCATCAGCAACATCGATTGTGGTGGATTGTTCATGGATGATCAGAGATATCTCTACATCTCTGACTGGATAAAACATGAAGTAAGACGATATAAAATAGGAGACAAGAATGGAACTCTCGTTGCTGGTGGTAATGGAAAAGGTGCTGGTCTCAATCAACTCAACTTTCCGACGTACATCTTTGTCAATCAACAACAGTCTGTCTACGTGTCAGATAAGGAGAATCATCGTGTAATGAAATGGGATACAGATGCAAAAGAAGGAATTGTTGTTGCTGGAGGTCAAGGCTACGGAGATGCTCTGACACAATTGCGGTATCCTAAAGGACTGTTCGTTGATACGTTGGGTACCATCTATGTGGTAGACTCAATTAATGATCGAGTGATGCGTTGGCCTAAAGGAGCGAAACAAGGCAGTATTGTTGTGGGTGGAAATGGTGAAGGAGAAGGAGCAAATCAGTTCGACGGTGTCTTTGGTTTGTCCTTCGATCGACATGGTAATCTCTATGTCACCGATTGGGGAAATCATCGTGTTCAACGTTTTGATATCGAATAAACTCAATACGAGTGATTTTTCTTTCCCTTCCTGTCGCTTCGAAATAAATTCACGTTAATTCATTGGAATAAGCTTTTTCTTTCTTTTCTGTTCTATTCGTCCGCGTGCGCGAGCAGGAACCACCGTGGTGGGGGTCGTAGCGATCGTAATGCTCATACACACACGGGAAGTAGGGTCCCGCGGGAACGACTTTTCTTCGTTCCCGTTTCCCGTTCCCGTTCCCGCAAAAGGAAAATATTATTCCCGTTCCCGGATTCCCGTTCCCAGAAAAAATTAGAAATTCCCGTTCACGAATTCCCGTTCCCGGAACACCGAACTCTTTCCCGTTCCCGTTTCACGTTCCCGAAAGTTTTTCACAGCTCCTATTATTATTTCATTTTTCGCATTAAAAAAAAAATTATTGTCAGATATCACTTTATCGCGACATCTCCTGTTTCACAACAAATCATATATATCATAACAAACGCATGAATGAAAGAGAGATTTCGCATTGGCCATTTATTAACAAATGATACAGTTCACGTTTACTATTAAAAGCTTTCATATTCGCCGATGGTCTACCTCATAGTTTCATTAATATTTGCTTCCACTCATTAATTCGATTTTTTTAGATTAACTTCGTCTATCACATCTATATTCATCTGTCGTTGGTATTCTATACATTACCGTGTTGGTAATTTTTTTTTTCGTGGTTATTAACTCATACTATCTATTTCTTTTTTTTTCGATTTTAGATTAATTTTGTCAATATTATCTATATTTACCATTCGTAAATCTTGGTTTCAATAAACTCTCTGAATCTTCGCTACATTCAATAAACTGAATGACTTCAACAAAAACACCGTTATCGAAAGCTGCACTTCAAGATTTAGTATCATCGAATGGTACATCGATTTCATTGGTAAAACCTGCTCATGGAAGAAGCGAATTCTGGAAAAGTTATTCCGAGATTTACGTAGAAGGCGTTGCTCAAGATTACATGATATGTTGACAATGTAAAACGGTATTAAAATGGTCAAGTGAAAATGGAACGCGCGTAATGAGTCATCACAGTTGTGTGAAAGTGAAATCTGTCATTGCCACGCCTTCACGACAACGAACAATTTCTTCTTATTGTCAGCAGGCTTCAACATCAACGGAGTGCCCCTTAATTCGAAAACGTATCACTGAAGCATGCGTAGAGTTTTGTGCGGTTGATGGACGTCCATTTGAAAGTGTAGCCGGAACCGGTTTCATAAATTTAGCAAAACAATTAATAAGTGCTGGTGCTATTCTTGGGACTTCTATTAATGTTAATGAATTATTACCTAATCCAAGTACCGTAAGTGTTGAAGTTGTATTTGGATTTTAACTTCATATGCCTTTATAATGCAAATTTTTTTTAAATAGATTAGTCGTAACGTAGAACCTTTTTATTTAAATTTGAAGCAACAACTTATTTCTTTATGTGGATTAATCAATCATTATTGTATCACGTGTGACTTTTGGACGGAAAAGTCAACAGGTAACCTGGTTGTGCTGTTTTGACGGAAGTGAGGTAACCTGTATGTCTTTTTTTTATGTTTAAGGCATTCATTATGGTGGTTTGAGTTTACATTATATTGATTCCCAAGGGCAACTTCGTTTATTTACATTGTCATGCCAAGGTTTTGATTACGAAACACAACATGCCGTTAATATACGTTCATTTGTAGATAAAGTGTTACATGAATTTGATCTTTGTTTAAATGATAACGTTTTTGTCGTCACCGATAACGAAAATAAAATGAAGAGTGCCTTTAAAGATAATGTTAAACGCATAGGATGCAGTGCACATTATGTGAATAAGATTCTTCAACATGCTTTCACATACGATTATATACAATGTGATGATGCTCAATCATTATTTAAAACAGTAAGATCTATAGTTACTAAAGTACGTCAATGTCACAAGCAATCTACTTTATCAAGTTATTTACAGAACTATAGTGATACACGTTTTAGTGGTATCTATATAATGCTCGATTCTTTTTTGAAAGTGTATTTTGAACTTGCAACAATCCTAAATGATGAACAAAAAATGAATTATTTGAGAATAGATCGGGATGATCTAGAATCATTATGTTTGTACTTAAAAAAATTTTGTGATGTTATTGAAAAACTAAGTTGTGAAAAATCACCAACTTTACATTTAGTTATCCCGTACAAACAGGCTTTGATTAATTGGTCATATGTTACTGATGATGATAATCTGTCAATTTTACCTGTGAAAAGATACATTGGAAAAGAATTAGAAGATTATTGGGTTGTTGCAGATGTTCATTATATAGCAACCATGTTACATCCAAATCTTAAAAGTTTTAATCATACACCACATAAAAAATGTCATGCAGAGGCATTATTGAAATTAGAATTTGATAAATATCAACAATTAGAACAACAACGATCATCATCAAATAATAATAATAATATTAATTATAATAGAAGAACACAAGTTCAACAGAGAAATAAAACACAATTATCAGCTTCATTAGATGATATATTTGATTTACCAACGTCCGCTGATGAATTACACGATGATAAAGACTCAAAAACAGAATATGATAGATACATAGAAGATAAAAAAAAAATTGACAAGGACATGAATGTTTTAGTATATTGGAACGATAATAAATTAGTCTACCCTACATTGGCTACAATAGCTCAACGTGTACTATGCATTCCATCAACTAATACATCTGTAGAACGTCTGTTTTCTGATAGTGGTAATACAATAACAAGTCTTCGTACACGTTTGCAAACGAGTAAAGTGAATCAATTGTTATTTGTACGTCGAAATTTATCAACGTTAAGAGAAATATTTCCGCCGACGATCGAACAATTACGAAAAAGAACAAATAGCTCCACATGCAGAACAGGCATGAAAAAATTAAAAACCTCGAAAGAAGAAGATGATAGTATTACTGTTTTGGAAGATAGTCTTCATGATCGTACTTTCGATGATGATCATGATGATGATGATAAAGAAAATGATGGATGTAATGATGTATGATTTGCTGAACAGCAAATTAATTTATGTAGATTTTTTAACAGATATTTGTTATTTTTTTTTGTTAATTATATAACACAATAGTTATTTCGAAATAAGAAACTGTTACATCGATACATTTTAGTAAATATAAAAATAGGACAAACAAATTTTCGGGAACGGAAAAATTTTCATAACATTCCCGTTCCCGTGTTCCCGTTCCCGGAATCCTATGAAGATTCCCGTTCCCGTGTTCTGTTCCCGATATCTCCACGGGAATTCCCGTTCCCGATTCCCGCGGGAAACGGGACGGGAAAATACGGGAAAAAGTCGTTCCCGCGGGACCCTACTTTCAGCACCGAAATAATAGAAATTTCTCTGAGAACACCGACCAAATATAACGATCTATAATCGATGTTTTAAAAAATTTCCTGTTATTCAACAAAAACGTTTCTAATTGTGATATTTTATTTGGATACAAGATATGAGATGCCCTAAAACACTAGAGCCTCAGAATTTTTGTGATTCAGAGAAAAAAAATTAACTGGAATATGAGACCCGAAACATAGCCTATTCTGACAACCAATTTTCTATCACCTATGAAGATTCTATGAGTGTTACCTAGGGTGAACATGTGAGCGTGGGTGAAGAGAGGATCCACGAACATACTTACAGCCAGAGCCACATACTATCCATATCCACGTCCACTCATTATATCTTTTGTGAGAGTACTTTTTTACTATTTTCTTTCAAAGTCAGAAATTAGAATTTTTATCGAGAAATGAGTCATTTTTTGCCTTTTTGCCTGTAATTTATTCCAAGCGTTCTGTTACAGTATATGCCTAGGGCATATGTAATGTGCGCTTACCTTAAGTAGCTTAGTTGAAAGAAAATTGCCAAAAAATATGTTTGTTCACACTTTTTTTCGTAGCATGGTCAGATGAAAAAATCATGATCGTTGCTTCGGCTTGATGCAATAACATACATAAAAAATCAAAATAGAGAGAAGAAAAAGAACAGTAACTTCAGTAGTGAGTGTTTGATCCATGAGTGTAAGAATGAAAGCAAAAGAAAACGAAATATATGACTATAAAAGCATGCACATTTCATCCTTCATCTTTGCTTAACCCAACACACACTCGAATTTGTTTAGAAAAAACTTTCGCTCTTTGATTATTAAATTCTTGCATTAGTTTTTTGTCGCGATTATTCTATGATGTGCAACGTTTGTATCGACTTTTTTTCGATTTATCTTGTTTAACCGTCGCTGAAGGGATCCTGCAGTACAGAAATTGAAGATTATCATTAAAAAAAGATTTGAAAAAAGTGATTATTATGCTGCCTTTTTACCAACTGACAAATGGTCTACACATTGTTGATCTTCGTCAGGTAGTATTTTGAGTATCCGTCAACTTCTTTTGTTTTTATCATTCTTTTTATTTTATTTTCAGATTGATTCGGTGGATTGAAGAGTGAATTAAATCGAATTAGTCATCTGTCACATTTGGTTTTAGTCTCTGACTTAGATTGTTTGCGATTAGGGGTGTTAGTGTTTCTTTATGTTTCTTTATACTAAAGAAAAAGTATAAATAAAAACATTTTATTTATAAAATAAATATAAATGAATCCATTATTTTTAAAAAGACAAGATTTTTTTAATGAAAGCCTGATCTTTTATTTCCTCCAACTGGTTCACAAAAAGAGTATGGTATCATAGATACAAAAGAAACTATATAGACCAGGTTTTTGCATGTATCATGCTCATTTTAGAACAGTACATTGCACATCAAAATTGTATTGTCTTTCTCTATTCTTTAATTTATCTTTAGTTTTTCAAATTAACGATTTTATTTATATTTATTTTATGAACAAAAGATCGATTAATATCCCTAACTGCAGCGTGTATCTTTGTAGATATATTCGCTTTTACGAGTGCTCTACGAATCAGAATAAACATCAAGTGTTGTTGTGTTATACCTTATTGGTCCACTTTATACCAGCACTGTTATTCGTGTGCGTAGTGATTTTTGTTCTCAATCAAACTACTTCGTCGACAAAACGGTATCAATGAGGAGTGTCACCTTACCGGCACGTTGATTGATTTCGGTTGAATTCTTATCATTCGACAACTATATGTATGTAGCTCTATGCTGGTTGAGCAAAATCTAAATTCTAAAACAGAACATTTAAACAAATGAAAAGTATTCTATCGATGCTATTTCACAAGTATATTCGTTTTGTATATTTTCTACTGTCTACATTCGTTCCATTATATGTTGTACTTCTACACTCAGACTACTTAAGAATATCTAATAAGAATCATGTTGTTGCATCGCATAGTTTTCATTTCAATAAGAAAATTCCTATTATGCGAATGGCAATTATCAATAGTGTATATTATCATGATGAAGTATGGTACTCTTATCTTTATGTAGCAGCTGTCAAATGCCGCTGGCGTGTTTCATTATTTACGGCAATACCGAACGATAAAATGCGTTTATACAACAACATGGTGAACGCGACACGTTCATGGTCTCTATCATTCGTGCAACACAAAGAACATCATGCTGCAGAATTACTCTCTAGTAGTGCCAATATATGTCTACATCAGATACTGATGATTAGCACACTGTTCACTGACTATTTGGAACATCTTCTGAACAGGCTTGTGCATGATTGTGGAAATAACACAGCTCATGTTGTGCTAATTCAACTTAACACTGCTGTAGAAGATCTATTCAAACTTGATTTATTGTCTAACAAGTATCCATCGTTATTTTCCATGCCAAATATTAAACTTCGACTATTAGCATTAGCACCACATGTTCATGACTACGCTCGATGGTTCACAAAACGACGTTTCTCCATTGATGTCTGGTATCCAGTGTTTCCACTGGATTTGCCATTGACCACAGAATCAAAATCTTTGAAATTTACCATACAAGGAAAATTCTCTGGAAAACGACGAAATTATGACAGCTTAGCCTCGCAGATTCAGAGGAAGTACAAAGTACTTCAGCAACGAAATATCACGTTTCTCGTCATAGGAACAGGTAACGATAATTTACAACACCCACTACGGCAATCTAGTGCTGTTCGTTGGCTTATTCAAAAGAAACCAACACCAGCCGCTTCTTATTATAAACTCATCCATCGTACTGCAGGTATTTTGCCATTATTTGGTTCAAATGATTATTATATAAACAAAATTTCCTCGTCCATCAGCTGCTCTATTCTCACGACTACACCTTTACTGAGCACGGCACGTATATTGAACACTTATCGATACATTCCTACAAAAGCTGTATGGCTTCAAAGAGAAAACGAGTCAGAAGTCGACGCACTTCTTCGTATTAGTTCTGAGCATTCGTCCACAATGAAATTTCAGCATGCTCTACGTGAAAAACGTAAAATATTGAAAAAATTAGCTTCTGATATGTACACTAAAAATGAAAGAGTACTACGAAACTTGGAAAAGTGGTTGAATAATGCTTACGATAACAAGATGACAAGTAGAACAGTCAAGATCAATCTACTTTCAACGGCCAGAAATCTTCGATAATAGAAAATTCCAGTTAGAAACATGACCTATGTAATTGCTTACCGGAACGATGTGGATATCAGGGCATAGGTCGACTATTTGGGTAATACTACTCACTTTTAATAGACACCTTCAGTCTTTAAGAGAAACAACAGAAAATAAATATGCTGGAAAAAGTATAATATTCTTTGAAGAAGTTCTATCTATGAGTAGCTCAGTTTTAAAGTCAAAAGATATGAACTGAGAACTGTATGAATTTCATCCAATATATGCATATTGTAATGCGCCATATATTGAGTTGTTTACTAATATGTTATTACATCATATCGATTGATTTTGTAAATTTCTTATGCATATCTACCTAATATATATATTCTCTTTTGTTTTATATTTTTCTTTCGTACTATATATATGTTATTAACTTTTTCTATTTTTACCATTCTTAATAAATTCACTAATATGTCACTTCTTTGTGAGAAATTCAGTCAGGATTTCTTATGTAGGTTAAATCAACAGAAAGTTGCCTATCAGCCATCAGTCAACATATCAAGTGATTTGTGTGATGAAACTATACACTAAAAGAATATTGACAATATCATAAAGTCAATATTGTTATTATTACATTCGAGATTTTTTTTACATGTGAACAGAGTATACTGTCAGACTCTACCCACAAGAGAATTTTTTACTGCCCTGTTACCATTTTAGATTCTATATTTTTTCTCTTCAAAATAAAGACTTCTACTCATGTTAAAATTGTTTCTGAGAAGGAACCTACATGAAACTATTATATTCAGTGACAATTCATTGTGATCTACGTCATATATTTTTCCAATTCATTCTAATATCAAACTATCCTATCAAAATGAAGTTCAACAATTATTTAACGTTAGAAGTCATGATAATTTTGTTTTTATTTTCTACAATTTCAATAGTATATTTCACAATAGTCTAATCGACAACAAAATCAATATGATGTGAGAAACATGTTAAATATATGATGAATTAATGATACTCATGTTTGATGAATATTTATTAAGCACTGCACGAAACAAATAGATAAATTTTAGTGTTAGAAAGCTTCCTGTTCGCCGAACGGCACTACAACAGAAAAATGTCTATGAAAATAAATAGTGCACTGCACAGTAGCAGAAAGAAAATAAAACATCTGAAAATGGACTATAATAAAAGAACAAAAGAAAAAAAAGCAATCTATGAAACTTTATGGCTTTACAGGTTTAATAGTTTAATGTGAACAAAACGATTTCTTTTCGATTGAAAAAAAAATGGCTCGTACAATATATATGAAATCATTCGTAAATGTTTAAATTAGGATTATCATACTACAAAATTCAAATGAAGTACACAAAATTCCAAATAATACTATTTGAATAGACTATACTTTTTATGAGAAGCACTGTATTTTATGCCTTCGTGCAAAATTGCGGTACTGGATGAACTGTATTCAATCATCACATAAACAGTCAAATCAATAGAAATATACTTCATAAATTTTATTTGGTTGTTTTATATAGTGTTACATGTTAAATGATTGATTCACTCAAAAATTTTTATCAAAACACCTATAAAGGATATCAGAGCCGTGATACTGTTGACAATCCTTTTTAAAACAAAATGAGTGAATTCGTCATTGGTGACAACATATAGAAAAGAAACTTTCTGATATCAATTACATCGAACAGTACTATATCTGCCAGCTGAATCTTGTTAGAGTAAGTGAGCATTTGAATTTGTTGTTTCTTGAATAGAAATTCATTAATTATGTTCATGAAATTTACTTAAGAAAAGGAAAGACAATTCTCCAATCATGTCAAATTTCATTTAAAATTATTTTACCAGTCAATGCAGCATCAATGTTACGTCCAACAACTGAAGCCATTGTAGAAGGCACTACAGTAGTACGAGTTAGACTTGGAGGAGAAGCTGAAGAAAAAAATTGTGTTCGGATAAATAATAAAATAAAACATATAGATAATGGTGTATCGATACGATGACGATGAACACATTACATCACCCAAATGACAAAGCACTTTTTTCAAAGTATACATTTATATTTAGTGAGAAATCTATCTAAAATAAGAGATAATAATCGATTATTTATATAGTGATATTCTTCGAAATTAGAAAAGTTTCGTTGATTCATGAGAAACCATCTATGATCTGATCAATCGTTTATTCTAGAATATTCTCTTACGTTTCTTTTTGCAAAGAAAAGATTTCTTATATTCGTTTAAAGAAACTGTGATTTTGTTCTTAATTTCAACTAACCTTTCTATTAAAGAAAAAAAGTAAACATAAAATTCACCATCAATGAAGTACATATCTTCATTGTGATAGATGAAAAAAGCACATTGATTTTTCTATGTCACATTTTGCACTATTTTATTAAAAATAAACTGTCGTCATAAGAATAAACAGATGCACAAACGATCTAAAATTTAATTAAAAAAATCATCAATGTCAGCAGTTGCCGGTGGTGGTCGTGGTGAAGGAGTATTTGGTAATTCGTGATCATTTTTCTTTGAACTAACTGGAGATTGGTACGAATTCTCATTAAGATTTTTAGAAGGGGGTGATGGTGATGGTTCTTTTCGATGAGGTAGCGTTTTAATATTAGCTTTTGGAGGTGCTCGAGGACTTTCTAAAGGAGAAATAATATCATCTTTCTTCGAATCATTCATTGTAGGTTTTGGTGCATTATCAAGTGATTTATTCATCTGAAAACTTTCGTCAACATTTTCATTGGTATCATCTTTATGACTTTCATTAGGTAAAATAGAATTCTCATCATCGACAATTGATACATCATCTCTATTATCTGGTTTAGATGAAGATACTAAACATAAAGAAGAAAAAAAAATTTTTTTTCTAATATTATAAAATTAATTTGGCTCATAATGCTACCTTTGTGTTCAGGAGGAATTGGTGATGGTTGAAAACTATGATTATTTAATGTATCTTCTTCATCATTGTTATTGTTAATCTCAATGCGAGGTGAAGATGCTAAATAAAGTAAAAATTAATTCTAAAATTTGATTTAAGAAAAAAAAACACGAACTGCGATTATCATCATGAATACTGCCCGCATCATCTTTAATGACTGATCGTGTTTTTTCAACTGATCTTGATACACTTGTAATAGCTAGAAATATAATGATTAAAAGAATTCTAAAAAAATAAAATAATACATACGAAGTTTTGTTGGTGTTTTTTCTATTTGAGGAGGTGGATGAGGTATTACTTGTTTTTTCGAAGCTTCTGATATTTGTGATTCATTGTCGAATAGATCAGCAACACTCTCATCATTCTCATCAACTATACTTTGATTTTTTGGTGTTGATTGAAACATGGGTTTTGTTGCAACATCATTCAATGAACTTCGACCAGTATCTGTAGTTGTTGGAAGTGTAGAAACAATTTGTTTAACAGGTACAATAGGTTGAGATGGAACAGCTTTAACTTTTGTTTTGAGTGGTATAGTGGTTGTTGTTTTTTTAACGGGATGTGAAATAGGTGGTTTAGGTTCTTTAACAGTTGCTGTAGCGTCCCATGCAGATTTAACTTTACTTTCAGCTTTAGTGACACGTCTTCTTAATGTTGGATCAGCACTAGGTATTTTCTTATGAGTTTTTATTTTTTTACTTTGTAAAACAGACTCTTTTTCTGTTTTAATTGATGCAGTTAATTCGGGTTTAAGAGTTGGTTCAAAATATTTCGGAGGCTTGTCGTTTAGAGATTTGGACGATGGACGCCAAACAGGTTCTTTTTCTTTTTTACTTGGTACAATTAATTCAGATTTAATAGTTGGTTCAAAATATTTCGGAGGTTTATCTTTTAAAGATTTGAATGATGGACGCCAAACCGGTTCAGGTGTTTTAGTTCGTGGTGGTTTATTAGTAGGGTCAAAAGCACGAATACGTTTTGTTTTATTTGCAACACCAGCAGGATTCCAAGGAGGTTCATGTAATGATGGTTTTGGTATTGAAGGTGGAGCATGAGAACCCATAAATTTAGAATGTTTGATTGAACCACCGGGCCGCCATACAGGTGCCGTATTGGAAAAAGATATAGCTGACTGACGAAGTGGATTTGGAGCACTATCAAGACGAACGCGAGGATTTACGGATGATGATCGTGGACGTTCTAGAAAGAAAGAAAAAAAGTATTTTAAAATTTTTCATTTTGTTTTTTAGTTTGGCAAACCTTTGCCACTAGCTAATCGACTTTTTGGTTGTATTGGTTTATCACCATAATATGGTGCTCGAGGTGTTCGATAAGTACTTGCTTCTGAAAAAGAATTTCGTCGCATTGGTGAAACATCAGCAAGCCATGGACTTTTATTATTGGGATGATTTCTAATTTTTTTAACAAAACCTTGATCACGTGTTGGATAGAGATCAATTGTCATTGGATCATTAGATGAGTATGCATCGGAGGTTGAAATAAGAACTTCATCTAAATTGGATAATGATCTCTGTTGTCGTGGAATATGAGTTTTGTGTGTTATTTGAGCATTATGTCTTTTTTTTATTGGTTCAAATTCTTCTTCTTCTTCTTCTTCTGATGATGGTGATGATGATGAAGTTTGTTCACTTGGAGAACGTGAACGATAAGTTTCATGTGATATTGGATAATGATGAATATGATAATGTGATGGTGATGGTGATGGTAATGGTTGAGATCGATTGGTTAGTTCACATTGTGCGAGAGTATGAGATAATTCATCATTAATTTGGCGTAATTTTGATATCGCTTGTGAAGGAGGAGGAGAATATACAGGATGATGATGTATTATCACAGAAGATGAAGGTGATGGATAATCAACAGATTCAGAATGGTATTCATTAGGATTATATAAATCGAGATTAAATTTTAGATTTGATGATGTTAGAGAAGGAGATATAGATCGATTTCGGTATGATGAGGATGAAGACATGGGCATATACATAGTCGAATGATGGATATGATTAGGTGTAGCATTATAAACTGAATCGAAATTGGACATAGCATGAACGTAGTGAATTGATTTATCCATTATGTTTAAGCTATAGTCAAGAATTAAAATATTTGTCTTTCACTAATCAGTTAGACATACGATAAGTTGCTTTGAATTGTTTCCATAGCAACATTACAATTAATGCAATATAGAAAAAATTGAATGTTATTAAAAATTATGAGAAGAATAGAGTAATTCGAAAGAGTGGATTGTCAGAAAAAAAATATAGAAATCTTGAATCAAATATTAAAACTAAACTGTACAGTGCTGTCATCTGCGGAATAGTTTTCTTTTTCTTTTAATATTTTGCTTAATAAGATCGTTTTCCTCTTGTGATTGTTAATGAATTGTTATATTATGTTCTTATTCCATCATCCAGCATTTGATATATAAACGATTCATATCAAACTATAATTAACGTTTTATTTCATCATGAATAGTGTATAAGGCTGGTTAAAAATGTTTTTTTTTTATTCAAAGAGTAATCAATAATTCAATCGAGATGAATATGCAATCAATTATATTTCTACTTTTCTTAGCACATTGTTTTCTCTCGTCTGGGTCAAGAATTTCATTTTATATTTACCATGATCGAGATAAAATTTAAAAATGAGTATTCTTGTTTCTTCTCGAAACTAAAAGTGCGTCTATCACTTGAAACAATTCGCTTATAAATGATACCGCGATTGACATTATTTCTGTAGTGTATTTTATCAGTTCAAATTACCTAAAACTCCATTATGAATAAACGTAATACTGTTGAGAAGATTGCTTCCGATCGTAAACTTTTTTATTTTAGTGCTAAGATGGTAACACTGATCTTTCCAAGTTTCAAAAACTTTGCTCTTCTGTTACGCAAGAACGATAAGTTTTCAAATCATTTTAGAACTTTGAGTGGTTTCATGGATTTTTAGTAAAAAATGATTTAATAATGATATTGATGATATTCACAATTTTTGACATATATAGAACAAGTTAACTTTCACAATCGAAATCAGGAATGATTATAGATGAAAAAATTTGATGGAGAAAAAATATTGCTAAAACCATTGTGATTTGAACTAAAGTATCTTTACTTGCGAATATGATGATGTTTCAAATTTCACAATAGCTTATATTTCACTTATGATAGACAGAACCACACAGTACTGAATAACACATTTTGCTTTACATTACTGCTTGAAAGAAGGTTGTATGTATATTAGAGAGATGTCCATTCTCGATGAAAATCTGTCGCAAATGCATTTGAAGACACATTCTCCATGTGATTGTCATGTCTGTATTAAACTAGAACTATTGTTAGGAAACAATGAGACTCATTGAGTCTCATTATGTCACCCTTGTGAACACTGAAATCCAATATAATTCAATTCATATTTGATCAAGTCATAATGTCAATTTCATGATAGCCATTAATTTATTCATAATAGAAAACAATTTTTCTAATTATTTAAATGACACGGTATAATCTTTCTTTATTCAACAGATATATATATATATATATTTGTTTTATTTTGTCAAATATTTGCATGAAAGATAGAAGGGCACTTTCTTAATCCATAAAAAGAATTTTATGGTGCAGTTTTCAGCAGTTATCCTTATCATATATGTGTAATCTGGTTTTTTTATTCTTTCATTCTATCATAGAAGAGAATACAGGGTTCAAGATAAGTAATCAGTGTCCTGTCAGATGAAGTAGACATGGTTGAAAATACTGTATACAGAAAAGTACGACGATATAAATGACTCGGTATTACGATTCTATATCTCGATGTCGTATACGAAGTTATACAGTAATTTAGAAAGAAAAAAAGTACTCGATTACTCTCTTCATATACAGGAGTCTTTTATGATCTCTGTTTTTTCTGTGTATATAATACTTAGGGTTATCCAAAAGTAGTGGGCCAGGTTCTTTTTTTTCTTATAAATAGCTAAAACGAAATTTCTTTTTTTACGAATAGATAGAGCGTCTTTCGCTCTATATTTCTATGCTATTTGATCAGTATCTAACTAAGATCATAGTAATAAAATTCCGACAAAAACATTTTTAGTGCAACTCTAGCTGGTAGCAATAGTGCATAAAATCATCTACACGTGTTTTTTTTTCGTTTTTTCTTGCTTTTTCTCTTGTTGTTTCTTTCATCATCGTCTTCTTATCTCTTTTAATAAGTGTCCANCAAAAGAATTCCTAAAGAGACATGCTTTAATTTCATAAACTTTTCTTCTTTTTTAAACTCAGTATTTGAATGATGATCATTTACAATTGTTATAGTCTTTTTATCTTGCAGAATTAACACCACGGACACTACATTATTATTAGAGCAATTCGAATACTATTTTACTTGCATTGAGAAGAAAACAAAAACAAAAAGACTACAAATTTTATTATTGTCACTTCGTTATTCAAAATTTATCAAAAATAATGTTTTCAATTAGATATGAATTCGAATTCAGCTCATGTAGTTCGACATTTTTTTTTTCTGATTATAAAAATAATTCCCATAAAACACGTGTTCCTTGTTTTTTCTTTGATAGACGATGTCGTTTCAAACACTAAGAAAAGCTCTATCGAACTTTGATATTGAGAGGGTAATTTATATCAAAAATTCGCCATACAGTAAAGTAAAGTCTAGAATAAATATCCTATGTGCACATTCATAATCAAGTAATTAGACATTTGATGTCAATATCATGTTTAAGCTTTTGAAAAGTTATCGAAAGCTCATCTTTGTTATTCACGTATATAAATAAATTTTATTCGACAGTTTTTCCTTCGTTATTCAATTTTTCCAACTTTTAGTATTGAATACGTTAAAGTTACTGAGACTAAGTAGAAGTGACGTATGTTTCTTTTGAAAACTATGATCATGTTGAGTTTAAAATTGTACTTAAATGTGAATACAGTAAAAATTTGTTTAGTTTATTTCAAAATGATAAATTCTTATATCATCATTTTTGGAGATAAGCTTTCAAAAGAACAATTTATCGGATCTATACATTCTCGTTACATAAAGAACTGTCGTATCATTGTGATGTCACTATGTATATAATCATTCGATTTAGTTATGTTACAAAATAAGCACATCAAAATAGAATCAACAATGAGTTGCATATTTTATAAATGATAATAAACCAAATAGTGAATTTGTCAGAGTCAGATCATTCAATACAGAATTTTCGATTCATCATTACAATGTTCTTAAATTATCATTTATGAAAGAATACTGCGAACTGTAAAAATTTCTTTTCAAAATCTATAAGATAATTATATTAAAATAAAATTCATTTTCATTTTCAAATATTTTGATAGAGAAAATTTTTATTTATATAGCATGTAAAACTTTAAAATTCTCTAGTTTAAATACAAAATCAATCAAATAAAAACTATATTCTTAGACAGAATAATCAAACCACACCCACACCCTAATTAACTTTCAAAACACTTTGAATTGTAATATTTGAAAATTTATGAGCATAATTCGTTAATCTTTTTTAATATAAATTTTGAAAAATGATTATTATATCAAGATTTCTTTTCTTTTTCATTCATTGTAGTGATTCCGAATATTCCAAAAGGTGCTCGATGGAAACAGAATGGAGTTACCGTTGCTGGAGGTAATGGGAGAGGCGATGACACCAATCAACTCTATTGGCCTGAAGGTCTCTTCGTTGATGATGATCAAACGATAGTCATCGCTGACTTCTGGAATCATCGTATCATGCAATGGAAGATGGGTGATACGAATGGACAAGTTGTAGCTGGTGGAAATGACAAAGGAAATCGATTGGATCAATTGGATCGTCCAACTGATGTGTTAGTTGATAAAGAGACGGATAGTCTCATTATGTGTGATTTTGGGAATCGACGAGTTGTACGATGGTCTCGTCGTAGTGGCATAATTCAAGGAAAAATTCTCATTGATAACATCCAATGTCGGGGATTGTTCATGGATGATCAGAGATATCTCTATGTTTCTGACAACGATAAACATGAAGTAAGACGATATAAAATAGGAGACAAGAATGGAACTCTCGTTGCTGGTGGTAATGGAAAAGGTGCTGGTCTCAATCAACTGAACTCTCCGATGTACATCTTTGTCAATCAACAACAGTCTGTCTACGTGTCAGATGAGGAGAATAGTCGTGTAATGAAATGGACTAAAGGTGCAAAAGAAGGCATTGTCGTTGCTGGAGGTCAAGGCTACGGAGATGCTCTGACACAATTTCGGTATCCTAAAGGACTGTTCGTTGATACGTTGGGTACCATCTATGTGACAGACTCAATTAATGATCGAGTGATGCGTTGGCCTAAAGGAGCGAAACAAGGCACTGTTGTTGTGGGTGGAAATGGTGAAGGAGAAGGAGCAAATCAGTTCAACGGTCTCTTTGGTTTGTCCTTCAATCGACATGGTAATCTCTATGTCACCGATTGGGGAAATCATCGTGTTCAACGTTTTGATATCGAATAAACTCAATACGAGTGATTTTTCTTTCCTTCCCTGTCGCTTCGAAATAAATTCACGTTAATTCATTGGAATGAGCTTTTTCTTTCTTTTCTGTTCTATTCGCCCGCGCGCGCGACCAGGAACCACCGTGGTGGGAGCCGTAGCGAGCGTAATGCTCATACACGCACGGGAAGACTCACATCGTCCACATGCACCCACATGGTAACACGTGTTAATGAGTCTAGAAGCCCGATCGTGTTGCTACTGTCACCAGAATAATCCTGGCCAGGCTTTTAGGGACTACCTGGAAGTCCTTCATAGAAACCTAATCTTACTCTCAACGGACAGAACTCACCCTTTTACTAACTAACCCAGCTATTTTAGTCTACCCTACTCTGAAACTCAAAAATAAAGAAAAAAAAATTACTCACATTTGAATGATGGATGAAGATGACTAGGGTGTGTATGGGGGTGTAGAATTTAGGCGTTCCACGACAAACGCTTGTTTCTGTCTTGCCGGCACTTCCTCAGGTGGAGTCTCAACAGATATTATATCAAATTTTATAGCGATTCAAAAGTATTATTTTCAATTTTTGTATACAGGAGCCACTATGTATGATACAATAATCTAATTTATTTCAATTGCACATTGAATATATCTAATTTTGTGTGTAGAATTAACTATATATAGTTCTGTGTGAAAGTGGTGTTGTATTTAGGATTTTTGATAGTTATCGATAGTTATATTGAATAGGTTATATGTTAATGGAGAGTTCGAATATAATAGATTCTAAGGAATAAGTGAATTAACCGAAAGTAGAGCGTAGTTGAAAGTAGATATGCGAATGGTAGAAAAGTCAGTAAGCAGTGAAAGAACTAAAAGGAAGCATCCTATCTTAGATGGAAATAGTTCTATTCATTTTCTAGTATGAGCAACCATTAGCGGTTCCACTACTCCCTGACGAAGAGTAGATCATCAGATGGTTGAATTTCATCTTATTAAAGACGAAAAGCTGCTCTGCTATCACTCGAAAGCAATAATGTCAGGATACTCGAGGGGTGTGAGGTGTGGGTGTGGGTGTGAGGTGTGGGTGTGGGTCTGCGTGTGGGTCTGGGTCTTGGTGTGGGTCTAAGTGTGGGTGTGGGTGTAAGGGAAGAAGAGATTAATATCCACACCTTCACACCCACACCTTCACATCCACACCTTCACATCCACACTTTCACAACCACACCTACACCCACACCCACACCCACACCCAACTCAGAATGAAAACTAATATAATTAACTAATGTATAGCACGTATAAAAACCTTTCTGCATAATAGATTATCTTAGAAAATAAACTTCAAATAGAGTTGTTATTGTAATCGTAGAGCATACTTCCTATAGAAGAATCTAAATGATAATGACGCATAGTAATTCTTTCTTTTTCTAGACTCTCAGGATGGCATCATAACTGCTAGCTATTCATAGGAAAACAGTGCCTTGTAATAAATAGGTTGCTCTTAGAAATACTAGATACTCTATAAAAACTTGCAAAATAAAAATACCAAACTTCTCATAAATAGAATTTATTTTCTGTAAAAACAAATGAGAGTATCAATCATATCCAACTCGGTTGAAAATGGCTGTAATTGAACGAAGTTTCCTGTTTGAAAATGTATTCTTGTCCTTTTCTAATTGATTATCTACAAAAGATCACAGATGAAAAACACAGTTTCATCGATTACGCTGAATAGCTTCCACCAAAACTCATTAACTCTTGATAACAAAAGATATCGACTATAATTAATAAAAATCCAACGAAATGTGGTCTATCATGCAGTTTGTAATTGAACTGCAACCGGACTCAATGAGACTAAACGACCATATTCGTTACTTCCGGCCAACAATACTTACAAAAGGTTCAGAAGTTGAAAAGAAGCGTTTGATATAATCAATTTTCATTTAAGTCCTATCTGGTTCACTTACGTCGATAAGAAGTTTCGACTTTTATATTTGCTTTTTAGATTAAAATACTATTCTTTCCACATTAGTGACTAAATTATATTATTAGAATAATAAAGATATGAAGCTTAGTCGAAAAGAACGTTTTGGTCTATTTATTATAGTATTTCTTCTTTTTCTTTATATTATTCTATCGAGTACCATCATTCAAAATAATAAATATTATGTCACATCATTAACAAGTTTACTTCGATTCAACTCTTATCGAACTAATCATTGTCTGAATGATTTTATTGAATCATCATCTATAAATAGACTAAATCTACCAAGAATACTTATTGTAATAGGTACACGTCCTGAAGCAATTAAATGTGCACCACTTATTGCTGAACTAAAATCTGATCGTTATCATTCAAGATTTCAAGTTATTGTTATTAGTACTGGTCAACATCGAGAAATCTTACAACAAACATGAGTTGTATTTAAACAGAAAATTGATATTAATCTAGATCTAATGAGTTATAATCAAACATTAACTCAACTATTTAGTCGAATCTATTTTCAAATAAATCAACAAATAAATCTTATTCATCCTAATCTAGTAATTGTACAAGGTGATACAACAACAGCACTTGCTTCTTCATTAGCTGCTGCATATAATCAGCTACCTGTTGCACATGTTGAAGCAGGTCTTCAAACATTTAATCTATCAAATCCTTATCCAGAAGAACTGAATAGAAAAATAATTGATTCATTTTCTACACTTTTATTTGCACCAACAACATTTGCTAAACAAGTACTTTTAGAAGAAGGTATTTGTCATAAAAATATATTTATTACTGGTAATACTGGTGTTGATGCATTTTATCACTATTATAAACAAACAAATATAACAACAACAGCAACAACAAAAGAAAATATATCTATAGTAAAAATCATTGAGAATTTTAAGAAAAAACAATATAATTCTACTTATTCACATAATAATCGTCATCATCGTCATATTATTATTCTTGTAACTATGCATCGAAGAGAAAATTTTCCATATTTATTTGATATGTCTCGTGCTATTGCAACAATAGCTAAACAATATGAATGTAATCTTCTCTTTATTTTACCTATTCATCCAAATCCAAATGTAAAACAAATCATAAGAAAAAATCTAAATGAACTAATAAATGTTAAAATTATTGATCTGATATCTTATGATATATTTGGATATGTTTTATTTCAATCAGATATTATTATGACTGATTCAGGTGGTATACAGGAAGAAGCAGTTAGTATTGGTAAAACAGTTATTCTAATGAGAATGACTACTGAAAGACCTGAAGGTATTTATCTTGGTACAATCAAACAAATAGGAATTATTTATAATGATATTATACAAGCACTCAATTATGAAATAAATCATTTAATCAAACTACAAAATTCAACATTTATATCAAATCAAAATAAATATATATTTGGTGATGGAACTGCATCGAAACAAATTGCAACTATTATAGATAATTATTTCTATAATAATAACAATAATAATCAATCTAATCATATTGATCTTAAATGTACAACTAAATATCGTCAAGATAAAATAGCTCAACTTATTTATTCTTATTCAAATATATCATCTTATAAAATGACTATTCCATCACATCATATTAGAAGATATCAAATATATAATCTTACGAAAGTCAAATCATCTCTTACTCTTCAACAAATATTTCAACTTTATAGTCAATATAATATATCAAAACGAAATGATGATAAATATTCAGTTACTGTTATTATTGGAATATATAAACATCAAGGTCTAATTCAAAGATGGATTGAAGCACTTCTTTTACAAACACATCCACCTAAACAAATATGGATTACTTATTTTGCTTCACCTATTAGAGATAAAATACAAGTTGAAATTGAACAAATATATTTATTATTTACTAATCAATCTACTTATTCTAATGATTTGTGTATGAAGAAAAAATGTCATTTAGATAATATAAATAAAGACATATCAAATTGTTATGAAGAATGTATAATATTATGTATAAAATTACCTTCTATTCTATTTATTAATATGAGAGATATGCAACTAAAATACTATGGAAGATTTCAACTTGCACTTCAATCTCATACAAAATATGTTGTAGTATTTGATGATGATTGTATACCACAATCACAATATTTTGAAACTGCTTTATATACAATAAATACAGAAGAATATCATGGTATTTTAGGAACAAAAGGTACAGCTACTTCACCTACTACTTTTTATGGTCCTATATCAAGAAGTGATAAAATCATTGAAGTAGATGTTGTTGGTGGAAGTTGGTTTATGAAAAGTGAATGGGTTAAACTTATGTTTCATGATAAAATACATTCATGGAATACTGGTGAAGATTTTCATTTATGTGCAAATGCACGAAAATATGCTAATATAAGAAGTTTTGTTATGCCCGTTGATAGATATCATACTTCAACATATTCTTTTTCATATGATTATCTAGATATTAAGTAGTAATAAAGGTGATACTACTAGAAGAGTTGTTGGAACAGCATCAAGTAGAAAATATATAAAAGATCAACTATGGTTACGTGGTGATCGTCTAATGCATAGTTATCAAATATCAAAACCATCATTACTTATCTATGCGGAAACACAAAATGACGCTATGTTTCTAATAAAATATACAAAACAATCAATGACTCAATTAAATGGTCTAATTCATTTTACTACATCAAATCTTATAACAACTAACTTAGAAACAAATGAAATAAAGAAACTAGTTGCATCTTTTCATGATATGATGATTGGCCGTGATTATAATATAGATCCAACACCAATAATAGCTGCTAGTGAAGTACTTTATGGATTTGATATGATTATGCAAGGAACACAAAGTACAGCTGTGATTATTATAGGTTCATCATCAACAGTGACTATGTTTGGATTAGTATGTGGAGCATTTCTAAGAAATATTCCTATTGTCAATATATATATATATAGAAAATAGTATAAATGATGAAAGAAGAGCGCACAAGCTATGTTGACAATGTCTTCTGCTATTATTCGAACTTTCTCTAATGAAACATTTGGAAACTCTGAATATCAACAGCTAAATGATATTTTAGTTCATCTTTACAAATAAATACTTAATATTCGAAAAAGATTGATGAATAAAGTCAACTAAAAAAAGTTGATTAACTTCTATAACAAAGATGTTCAGACTAAGCTTTTTTGATGTAGTATAACATATCTGAGAGATATGTTTTTACCATAAGCCTATGTTGTGTAGCTTTGTAGTACAATAGGAGAATGTGGAAAATGATGATGATTAATGTAGATTGTTGTGAGCATCTGACTTGTACTTATGTTTGTGTTGACGGATACTTTGAACCTATTTGTTAGACACTACTGTCTATTACTAGCGATGATTATATTGTATTTCACGTTCTTGTTCATTAGAATTGCATGAGCAGTTTTTCATATGATAAACTTTCTTATCAAGTTTCAACAAACTATGGTTTTGATTCTTCTTAAACTACTGCTAATATGTTGTAAACATTCTTCAAGAATTTAGACAGATTTGAAATATCAAGTCATTGTCACGGTCTCAATGTACTTTTAAAATATCGTTTTAATTAAGTAACTTCTGCTTTCGCTTAATCACTAAAGTAACTAGATTAAATGTATTGTTTTTATTTGTTTCGAATCATAAGAGACTTCAATAGATTCAAATAGATTTCAATAATAAATTCTCTTGAGATATATTTCCATGCATATTAAATAGAAATTCAAAGTCTATTAAATTTACCCAGAAATTACGTTCTCGTTGAAGTATGAACATAAATACTACATCATATAGGTCAGCTTCAAATAATATATATTCATAACAATAAAACATATTTTCATATATAGACCTACAAAAAGATATGGCAATTTTACACTGTTAGTAGATTAGTAATGATGTCTTCGTGTTGTATGCTGGTTTTGCATGACACTATAATCGAAACTTTGAATGATGAAAGTTGCTAAAATAAAACTGTCAAGTATTTAGGTTGAGCTGCTATTTATTAATATGGTATGAGCTGAAGAACATTATTTATGACGAAACTGTAGTCAGATTTACAAGTCCAGATTGCTAGAGCAATCGAGTTACTGATAAATTGAACTTGAAGCTCTTTTCTATTGAATTTCTGACATACATTGGCCGATATACATTGTGTTGGATTCGTTCTACACCGAACAGAATAAAAACTGTTTGATACCAGAGGCGAAAAAGTTGAGTCGTTTTCCATTTGCTTTAAAGGAAGAACATTATTTTATTCATCAGCCCTTAACTTTTACACGAAGAGAGCTAATTAAAATTCTACTTGCAAAAAAACAATTAAGTTTTTTTTGTTTTAGAAAATGTATCTCTAGTATGCTCAATACTTTTAAAGAACCATATGTTTTTTCTGTAATATATTTTATCATGATAATATTTTTATTCTAATTTTAAGATTATTGTCTGATCTCTTTAAATTATTATTATAAATGCACATAATTGAAATTGTAAGAATATAGGTCTTTGTCTTCTTTTTACGGCTTTTTAACTTTAACGATAGAGGAATAGTATGATAGTATATAAAAATCTTTGAAAAGTGAACCGCATTTTTGTAAAAAAAAAAACAGTCAAATCTGTCTAAAAGGGACTGGTGATTAGATGCATCAACAAGGAGAAATTAGAAACGGATACATCATTCAGAAATGTTGAAAGCAATCTAAATTGAAGTAATAGAAAAATACCTCTATCGTATGTGCTCTTTCTAACCTATTTATTGTTAATTATTATACAGTGTGTCTCAAAAGTTGCTTCCCAAAAGTTTTATTGTATATCTTTGCTATTTCATTTCACTTTATCAACAATTTTTTTTTAGAAATAAAGGTGAAGGTATCGAGTTTTTATTTATCTGAGCTACCTTCTATACTAACTTGTAAAAGTCTAGCTTTTGATCAAAATACAAAAATTTTGCTTTCTTTGTGAAATGCTAGAAATTGGAAGATTGACTATGTTGTTTTCTTTGATATTTTCACATGGTTGGATAGATTATGTCGAGTTCTACAAAAATATATATATTAGACGATTTTTAAACCTTTTCTTTGATGCGGAATTTATGGAAAATACCTCAGGACGTCGAAATAACTAAAGAAAAAAAAAATAAATGCATAATGGTTTTCTGGATAAACAAAGAAAGCAAAATTTTTCTAATTCGATCAAAAATTACACTTTTACAAGTTAGTATGGAAGGTGACTCAGATAAATAAAAATTTGATACCTTTACCTTTAAATCAAAAAAAAAATTGTTGATAAAGTGAAATGAAATAGCAAAGATATACAACAAAACTTTTGGAAAGCGACTTTTGGGACACACTGTATTTTTAAAAAAGCAAAAAAGAGCAATGCGAAGCTTTCAACTAAAAAGAAATGCGTAATATACATTTACTTTCTATTAAAGAAATTTCTTCTACTATAGTTATTTATCTATTCAGATGTGGAATAAATGAAAAAATGCGTTGGTAGAGCTTTATAATTATGATGAAACATTTTTGTAGATAGAGAATGAAAGTAGACACAACACTCTTTCATTGTATTGTTAGTATCTGGTTTTCATGTATCGTGTAGTTTCAGACTGAAACCTTAGATACAAATCTCTAATTCACATTTCATGGCTTGTCATCAAGAAAAATTAACCAAAAAGAAAACAGAACAGGTGAAATATCCAAGTAATTAGTAAACTTGATATAGAATATGAATTGTTTCTATTCTAAAAAGTTTCATATGATCATTGACATAACTCAATACAGTCGACATATATCATATTTATTTTCTACAATGCTAAAGTCTTTGCACTTGTTTCTTCAAATGCAATAACCAATAAATATTGAAGTAAAAAGCAAGAATGATAAACATGCTCGGCAAGCATTACAATTCATAATAGGAATATATCAACGAGCTTCTCTTTTAGGTCTATCGCCAATACTTCTAAACATAAAAAAACAGAAAATGTATTGAATGTTTTTGTTCTGTTCTTAGTCTTCATAATAGTGAAGTATTTAAACTTATTCTACGTACAAATGTGGAATATAGATGTAAAATCAAAAACATTGAAAACTACAATCTTTGCAGTATATTATCAACTGTT